GGGCCCCTCCCTCTGGATTACGGAGGCGGAATCATTCTCCCGTTTCCGGCGCTTCCTCTCCGCGTAGCCCCTGAACACCCTGGGAAACCGCCGCCAGTCAGCACTGCCCTTGGCCGAAGGCAGGAGGGACACAGAGGCTCGAGCATAGGGCCCAGTGGGGCGTTGGCGCAGGCTGAGGCCTGGCTCCCGGCAGGCCCTGCGCGGGCTGCGGCGCCAGCCAGGAGCCAGGCCCACAGAGCACAGCACCCCCTGCAAGGCCCAGGTCCCTGGCCTAGTTAGGGGTGGGAGGGCCCCAGGGCATGTGCTGTGCTGTCAGGTGTAGAGTCACGCGGGTACTTACGAGATGCTGAAGCGCAGCGGGAAGGGCCAGCATGAGAGAGAAGCTACAGTGAGCCCAGCCTGAGCCCATGTCCCCAGGGCCCCACGGTCTCCACTGGGGGCCAGCTGGAAAGGGCCGGGGGCAGCGTGGGCAGTGGGACCCGGTCCCACAGAGGCCCGACTTCGCCCTCCCTGCCTTGGGACAGGAGCCCCAGGGTGGCATGGGGGCGGGGGGCATAGGGCCTCTCAGGAGGAACCCTGCAGAGGGAAGCCCAGACACGCATGTGCCGCCAAGGTGAAGAGCAGGTGAGGGGCCAGGCCACCTGCCCTACCCTACCCACTGAGGGCTGGGTCCCCAGGGAGGGTGAGGGAGAGCAGGTGGCTCCATCTTAGGGACTCAGCCTCGCCCGTCCCCCTGCAGACATGCACAGCACCTATACATGGGGCCAAGGTAGCAGCCCTGGCGGCCCAGAGGAGGGGCAAGGACCAGTATTTCCTGAACACAGGAGCAGGCGAGCTGGCCCCCAGACCTGGGTGTGCACTCACGCTTGCATAGTTGTGGTTGCTGTCTGGAAGCTGAAAAGGTTTTCCTTGGGGAACCACGTGCGGACAGGAACATCATCTGCAAGGAACCACAGCCATGCTGGCTGGGGATCCCTGCCTGGAGGGTGCCGTGGTCTTGGGGGTCAGCAGTGCCTGGCCCTCGAGGCTGCCAGTGGCCCCAGCCTCTCCAGGAGGAGAAGACGGTATGGGTTGGGGCCTTGCTGTCCTGGCACCAGACCACACGCAGAGACACAGAGCTGCCTCCAGCTGCGAGTGTGAGCGGCACTTTGAAAGCACGGCCCATCTCCAGGTGCCTGGAGGAAAGCCTCATCTCATGTCCCTTAGGCAAGAGCCCACAGGGATCTCTGGGGCTAGAATGGCCAGACCCACCGTGGGGACCCTTACTCTGGGCAGACCGCCTTGCTGAAGGTGTCCCCTCCCCAGAGCCCCTACTGTCCTCCCTGATGCCAGGTTTGAGGCTGGGCTGGGCAGAGGGCGTCTCTGCAAGGGACAGCTAGCAGTCAGTCACAGCAGGCCAGGGGCGCTGGCCACCTGCACAAGTCCCACAGGCTCGGGTGGGGGCGCTCTTCTAATAAAGCCACGCGTCCCACCCCAGGCCCGACCATGGTGGGAAAGGTCATGGAGCCTGGAGGAGTTTGTGCTGGGGCAGGGTGGCAGCCTGGGAGGCTCAATCCTCAGCGGGGCTGTGCGCCCTAATGATGCCCTCCAAGTCTCCGGCTGGTCGCTGGCAGCCAGCTGCCCGCCCACCTAGCCACTGCCCGGGCCCTCACCAGACACTCGGTCCACGCTGTGCATCCTCTCCAGCGGCTTGCGGCGGCCAGAGACCTCGGGCAGAGAGGGCTGGTCTGGCCCGAAGGCCCGAGGGGACGGGCTGGGGGCCAGCTGGGCACACCCAGGGCACTCCTTGGAGCCCTGGCGGCTGCCCGCCCAGCTCTGGCAGGGCCTGCTGATGTCCTCGTGACCACTGCCCGGGCTGGCACGCAGCGGCTGGCTGTGGTGGTGGGGATGGGATGCCTCTCGCGCTGCCGCCGCCCCTTCACCACCGCCAGCTCAATGGCCTCAGCCTCGGGTCCGGGCAGCAGGGCAGGCTCCCCAGAGATGGTGTACACGCGTGGCTGGGGGCCCTCGCAGGCCGGCTGCCCGCCCACGGCCTCATCAGACAGGCTGCCCTCGTAGCGGCCGTTGGAGATGACGGAGAGGCGGCGCTTGTTCTGGGGGGCTGGCTGCATCTCGGGGGACCCGTCGTGGCCAGAGCAGGCGTCAGCCAGCAAGTGATCTGGGGGGACGTGCTGGTGAGCCTGGGCCTGCCCCCCCAGTGGGCTGAGCCGGAGAGCCTGGGGCCCTGAACTGGGGGTGGGGGGGAGGTTGCATCTGCCCAAACCCTAGGCAAGGTCTCTCAGGGCCCCTTGCTCCGCCGTCTGGAGGTGAGGCCCAGGGTGCGTGGGGCAGGGCGACAGCAGGGCTACCTGCGCGTGCAGGGGGGACAGCAGGCCACCCCCCAGCCTGCCAGTGTGCCTGCCTAGTGCCAGCGTCTCCCCTCCCCCCCACCAGCTGGCCCCCAGAGACAGTGGTGCCAGCCCTGGGGTGCCAGGAGGCCTGTTGCCATGCCAACGGCCCAGGCTGGGTGGGTGCCATGGTGATGAGTGAGTGGAGCTCCTCCCGGGGCTCCAGCGGGAAGGGCAGGGAGGGCAGGGAGGGCAGGGACCGAGGGGCCCGCCCAGCGGCCACTGCTGCTCCGGCCCCCGCAGGGGGTGCACTCTGGTCCCACCACCCTCGACTGGGCCTGGCTGGGCAGGGCTGGGGCACGGGCTCGCCGCCCTACCTGCTCCGTTGCGGCTTTCGGGGTGGCTCTGGGACAGGTACTCTCCAAACGCACGGGCCGCTCTGCAGG